TCTCTCCACTCCTCCATCAAAGGCAATTCTATTTTTCTCATTCCTATTTCCAAAATAGTTTATCTTTTTTATCTCCTTGGAAGAAAAGTACTCCACAAATCAAAGGTATCATTAGTATTGTTGTTATTTTGCTATTGAAATCTCTTGAATTCACTCTGGATTATTCATGTGCTTTTTTTGGGTCTGCAATATAATACTGCCTAAGTCACCCCCACTGGGCTAAACAAAAATGAAAAATTGCATCTTCAGGCCTAATCCCTGGCTCCACCCCATCTCCTGCTGGCCCTGGCTTCCACCAACAGAGGCACACACACCAGGCAGGGCTGCTTCTTGGTACAATGCCTAGCTCACTGCTGCTATGCTCTGAGCCAGATCCTCCTTCCTGTACCCATGGCATGCTCTCAGTGCCATGCTTAGATGCTGACCCCCCTCCCCCTGCCCCTTACACCCTTGTGCCCCTGGGGAGCTTCTTTTGCATCCTCAATAGATCTGAGGTCTCCCTGTTTGGCAGGAGCCACTGAAGCCACCCCCACTCCCCACAGGCAAATCCCATTCTCCCCACCCAGAAGTGGGGAGTGGCCACACATCCTTGGCAGTGGTACTCTGACCTTTCAAGATAAAAGAAATGGCTCTTCCTCCCCTAGACATCGCGTCACTGGGGTGCCAGCAGCAGGGAGGCTCATACTCATCACTCACATCCTTGTTCCTTTTGTGACATTTCGGGGTGAGGACAAGTACCCCTCGAGTGGTTCACTCCCAGTTTCATTTTCTGATTCTCCCCCCAATGAACCCCCTTTATTCCCTCTTCATTTGGGGGGCCCTGTCTGAAATGTTTGTGCTCTTTCCCCAAGTTCCTCCCCTTCCCTCCTTTCCTCAAGAGAGCTCTTGGCAAATTCGAACTTCTTGCAGTGCCTCCTCTCCTCCATGCTTCCTGTCACCCCAGGGCTCCTGCACCATGGCCAGCTCTCCTCACCCACTCTGTTCATCCTCTGCCTGATGCTCTTCCATTTCCTTGGAGATTCAGGTAGTCCTGTAACTCCGCCACTGAATGGCTACTTTTTGATGTGTCCCAATCATCATGAGAGCATTTATTAAGGAGATGGATCCCAGACTGATCTTAAGCTAGGAGACATCATTCACAGGAAAAAAAAAATGAGCATTTCTTTTTAGTCTAAGCATTCAGTACAGCAAGGAGCACAGGCAAAGCATACACGCATTCTGGGTAGGACAGAGTTGGAATCCTGTGAACAGGCCATCACTGGACAGGACAAGACACCCTGGGAATGCCAAGTGGAATGCCAGTACATGGAGAAAACATTTTTCCTAGAGCATGTTCAGGAGCAGCTACCATGTCTGCTCCACTGCACTTAGCCCAAACTGTCTCAGAACCTAAGAAGCAAAAGAAGCAGGGAGTCTTCCATCCTGCTGAGACCCTATTCCTTCAAAGTCACCTAAGATGTGCATGTGCAGAGTAGATGGAACAAGGCTGGAAGATTAAGGAGGGCATAGAAGGATATAGTTGTGCTGAACTGAAATAATAAAGGGGGAAATGTAGCAAGTTCTAAGTTTATGGATGACAAGGGAATCGATTCTTCTTCACCCAGGGGCAGAACATACTGGTTCTCTGCAGGAGGCAAATTGTGCTGTGACATTATCCTTCTCTATACAAAGCATGGCCATCCTGACAGCTGAGGGAAGAGGCATCCCCAGCAAGAGAGAAACCCACAAATAGCACATGCTGGCAGCTCTCCATGCCCTATTAGAAGCCAAAGCCAGAGACATTGGCAGGGCGGGAACAGGAGACTGTCCCTTTGCCTTAAGAAAGAACTTTCTTAAGAACTACCTTAAGAAAGAACTTTCTTTCTTACGTGATCCTGGTCTACATGAGAAGCCCAAACGTTAAGAGAAAGAGGCAAAACATTACCGACACCAACTATATGTTAGCTTCTGCCCTCTCTCAAGGGTTGTGGAACAAAGTAAAGGTGAATCATAGTAAAAACAAACAAACAAACAAAAAATCGGGAGGGGAAAGATGATTGAGATAGACTTTAGGAATTTACCCATAAGCAAATGAAAACTTCACAACACTGCGGTGCTCTGGGTCCTGGGAGAAGAGCATGAGAACTGCATTCTCAGAACTCCAAGAAGACACACAGGTTCTCGCAAGGATAAGTGCTGGGTAGCAGGTGGCCATGTCACCACTATGCCATATATAGCCCTAATGAGACCCCTGACTCCATGCTCCTTCTGAGTTAAGGACAGTTCTGACCCTTTATGCATTTCTGTGGGAAAACATTCAGAAGATTCAGTGTGGAGAAGGCAGGGTCCAGGTGAGTGGTTCTCTCTCTCTCTCTCTCTCTCTCTGTGTGTGTGTGTGTACGCATGCACGCGTGCGCGTCAACTGTTGTTAGAAAATCACAGTGGGGGCCATATAGAATCACATGGGCTAGTCCTTCCATGTCCTGTTGAAGGTATATCTGCTCCATGTAATAATTTGACCAGTACATGGCACAAGGGTATATATAAGTATATATGTACATATACATATATTCATATACATATATATACACATATATATACATACACACACACACACACACACATATATATATATATATATATATATATATATATATATATACATTCAAACAGAATCTTCTGGGACATTCACAATACTCCACACAACATCCATATTTCTACAGATGTATATTAGGGAAGAGAGATGGCTCTGAGGGTAAACGTACTTTCCACCAAGCCTGATATACTGAATTTCACCCCCAGGAACTACATGGTAGAAGGAGAGAACTAACTCTCCAAGTTGTCCTCTGACATCCACACATGCACCATAGCATGCCCTGCCTGAGAGAAGGCACACAAAAATAAGTAGAGAAATGTAATATAATTTTTAAGTGTTGAGGAATCAAGTGAAAAGATCTTGATATCACAATGCAATGAACCAATCAAACATCTCTCCTCTTGACTGTATGGCGATGCCCTTAGGTTCATGATTCCCAGTGTTCAGGCTACCTGGGTCCACCTTGTTCTCAGTGTGCTCTTGAGGATGCATTGAAATTCTATGGACTATACATCCGCTGTAGGACATTGCAAGCCAAGTCCAGAACAGCAAGAATAAGGAGATGATACAAATTGCATTGTGGTTTCTTTCTACTGCACTCAGGGCTAAGAATGGACGAAACAGAGCATTTACCCTTGGTAGGTAAATATTTAAAGATTCATATGAGGCAGTCAAGAAACAGCTTGGTACTGAGAAAGGGATAAGCACAGTAGAAAAATACACTCCGCAATGATTCAGTCAGGCAGGGAAGCACTTAGACACCTATCGGCTTCTCATGCCTATCTGAGAAAGTACTGATCAAGCTTCTAAAAATACAAGAGGGACAAAAACTTGCATGAGGTCCATGAGTGTGAAGGCGTGTGTGTGTGTGTGTGTGTGTGTGTGTGTGTGTGTGTGTGTAGTAAGATCCCCTTCTCCTCTCAGGATTTCTACAGGAAACTTCCCAAGTGAAGAGGCAAGAAGAATGGGAGTCAGTATATGTGTGTGTGTGTGTGTGTGTGTGTGTGTGTGTATGTGTGGAGTGTCTATATGCAGGCACGCACACATCACTGTAGCCAAACTTGCATCACTCTACAGCAGGATTCTCGAATGGCTCTTGTTCACCCAGCCTGAAAACTTGAGGAAATAATGTTTATCTTCATGTTGCTGTAGGGAGTCCTGAGGAGATGAACACAACCATCTGAGTGTGTGCATGAACTCATTATAAACCTGCACATATATGCTTTACGCATACTTCTAGGAGGAGGGGCCCCTCGAGTCTCTCAGGAGGGGTGACCGCAAAGTTTGAACTGCACGGGTAAGGGGGAAATCTACAGTGATAACAAAGCCCAGGGGAAGGGAGGAGGAACCCTGGTTTTGCTTATATTTGGCTTCTCCTGACGAGAGAAGCAGGAAGACACGCTGTTTGCTCGCAAAGGCAGCCACCCCATGGTTATGTGGTGCTTTCTCGAAAACTTTTACCCTTCATTTAATCAACAGATGGACGTTCTCTGTTGTGGATTTTTTTCTGAGAGTCCAAGAGCTGTGCTGGCTGGCACAAATGCTGCCTCAGATGGCAGAGGCGGCATTGGCATTCCAAAAGAGTGGGAAGGAACCGGTTTACTTGGCCCCTTCAATCTCAATTCCACAGGTGACTGTTGATGCCTTTGGCTAAGTAGGCACCTAGTTCGGCTCCCTCCATCACGACCAGCCCCATGACTCTCAGTAGCAAGAAGCCCAGAGGTAGCAAAGTTCTTTCTAGAGAGTCCACCTGCTAGGCTTCAGAAAGGAAGCAATCAGCACTAGGGGCGAAATTCCATTTCATACACTGAATCCAGCGCCTGGTAGGATTCAGAATTCAGCCTTGCTCAGAGAAACGAGTGACATTCAATGTAACTCTTTCCAAGCTTTCTTTTCCCCAGTCACTGTAAATATCCGCCTGAGTGCGTTCCGTAATCGCGTCTTTTTCTGCAACCGTGCAAGCCTCGTTCAGCACTATGGGCTTTAAGCACACCGGGGCAAGTTAGCTCTTCTTGGAACCGAAATCTCCACCCACGCCAGGCTCCCCTTCTCCAACCCGGCTGTGAAGGCCAGCGGGATCCCAGAAGTTCCTAATGGCCTATCCACATGGATACTACCTAATTAACATACCGGGTGCATAAAGAACTCATCAGCATCGGAGAGTTTGAGTTGGATGTGGACAGGAGATTGGAGAAAGTGCAGCCTCCCCTGTCCTTCCAACCCCTTCTTTCCGAAGACAAACCAATCAACAGTACCATTTTGTTGCATTTGCAAACGAGAAGCGACGTCCCTTCCTAGCACTGGGCCGGCACCGAGACCCTCGGTCAGTGCGAGCTCCCGAGCCTTGCCCACCTCCCAACCCTCAGCCTCCCGCGCCCTCCGCCGCCGCCGACTTTGCTCCAACTCCGGCGCGCCGAGTTCCTACCTTGACTGAAGAGGAAGAAGCAGAGGAAGAGCAAATCCAGCTGGAAAGGTCTCATTCCTCAGCGCGCGGGCAGCCGGCTGGGCAACTTGGGCGTGCAGTTAGTTTCTCTTCAAGCTCGGCGGCTAGGCTCGCGGTGCTCAGCCTCCGCCGCCGGTCCTCCCGGGTTCGCGCCGACCATCTAGCTGTCCGTCGGTCCGTCCCTCCTCCGGTCCGCTCAGGTCTCTGGATATCTGCAGGCAGCCAAAACCAAATGCTAGTTTTCAGCCGCCTCGGGAAGCCGGGATCTTCAGCAATGTCCCCACTCGGAGCAGATCCATTCTCTGGCTCTTGGCATCCCAGGCACACGGCTTCCTCTGGCGGGCTCCTCCCACAGCGAGCGAGCGAGCCAGCAAGCGAGCGAGTGACGAGTGACAGAAGGGCTCCTTTCACAGAAGCTGGGGCGGGGGGAAGAGGGAGGGGAAACAGGTCATAATTAAAGAGGAAACACTTGGAAAGGGGGACGCTTTGCAAAACGGGAGGGTTGCAGAAAGGCTGTGCTTTCCTTCTTTACCCTAAACAGGGGCACATTCAGCTTTTGTTACCATTATTGACCAGAACGCATAGTGAGCACCGAGCGGAGCTGTGACTTTTTCTTCACGCGATGTAATGTTGTTAAACGGGAGTGAAGTTACCGATGATTAGACTGGTGCACATGCAACAAAATGTGCCCGCCTTGCTGTTGCCCTAGGGACTGGCAACTGGGCTTAAAGGGAGTAGGGAGAAGTCAGGAGGGGTGCATCTTTCCCCAGCAAGGACCTGGCCAATGTGTGTGCCCAAGGCTAGGTAGTTGAAGAGATAAGCACGCTTTGCATTTGGGGGGGGGGGGGCTTTCCTGGTGTGTGTGTGTGTGTGTGTGTGTGTGTGTGTGTGTGCATGTGTGGTGGGGGATTGGGGTGGGGGTGGGGGGTTGATAAGCCCCCTGACTGTTTGGATCTTGGTTTGCTTTGCAGTGCTCCAGAGGAAACAAAATGCAGGAACAAGAGCCAACGCAGGCAGGGTGGTGACACATACCTATTTATTATTATTATCCCAGTCTCTACCTTTCCTAACAAGGACAAGGAACAGTATGTCTTTGCATTGAAGCCTCTCCCCTAATGAGCACTCCATCACTCTAAGAATGCCTTTTCTCCAAAAGGTGCTGTGAGTCTGATTGCCAAGGAGAGGCCAAGGTCATAGGCAACCGTTTTTTAAGAACCTGCGAGTCTTTTTACCTGTCATGAAATCCACACTCAAATCAAATTCTATTTCCTCCAGGATATCAACATGAATTTATCTAGGTCTATTTGCTTGATGGACATTTAGGTATGCCTAGAATAAGCAGGCCATGGGGGAGAAGTAAAATAGACCATGCCTCCAGGAGCGCAAGATCCAAAGCGGAAGTTGAGTACACACAAGACACTAACTATAAGTATCTTACAAAGCAACCCATAAAAATATGCAGTGTTATATACAGTGGGTAAAGGGGGACTGAAAGGAGAGAAAGGAAAAGGAAAGATGCTCTTTCAATGTCTGCCGTTCAACATTCAATTATAAAATCAATCATTACTTTCTGCAGTCTTTGGACCTTAGGGAGTCCTTTTAGGAATCTCTTACCCTTCAGTATTACAGAAACGTGGGCTTTGCTGACTGCAAGGCACATTCCAACTCTGAGTTTCCATGTGGATGTTAGCTAAAAAAATGTATTTTAGATTTTATGAACAACAACAACAACAACAACAAAAAGGAAGCAGGGGCACGTTGCCTAAGTGTGTACTGGTAGGAGCTGACACCTGGCATTTTATATCAAAGATATATAAATTAGTAGGCGTATGCTTTGTTGACTTTTCCATTCTTAACATAATAGTTTATTTAACCACATCTCTCAGAGGTTGTTAAACATATCAAAGGGAAATTTATAAGAAAGCTGTTTGTGTGTGTGTGTGTGTGTGTGTGTGTGTGTGTGGTGATGGGGGAAGATGCTGAATAACAGGCAATCCCATCAGCCAAATAAGCCACGAACAGAAGCAACATTAGTATGGCCTTGGTCCATTAGCTTGGAATAAGAGATAATGCAATAAAACACAAGAGGTAAACCAGACACACGCAAAAGAGGAATAATAATCCAAAGGAGCATGTGCTATATCATATATGAAGGGCGTGAATTTGGTATGTATAGCGCCGTACATCAGTAGTAGATTTTCACTAAATATTCAGGGCCAGGGGAGATGAAAGTTCTGAGTCCCACTTCAAAGGCCAAACCATGCAGCGAACGAACCCGCTAGGATGTAGAAGGAATGTACCTGCCCAGGCAGCATTTGATGTTTTAACTAAAGATTTATCCTCTCAGCTGTTGGTTAATTTTCATTGCAAGCTTCTAAATGGCCCGCGGCCCAGGTTTGCTTAATTCAGCCGCTCTGGGGAAAATATTAGAAAAAAAAAAACAGGGTCATGGGGCCAGTGAAGTGTGCAATTCACGGCCGGTCAACAGACACACACAGCAGTGTCTGCGCACCACTGTGGGAAGGTAAACTCAGTCCTGGGAAGAGAGGAGTGGGAGTCCAAGGTTGGGAGGATCATGTTTTTCTTTCGCTCTAGTCTCCAAGTCCCTCCTCTTGACCCCTAAGCTGGTTGCGGACCTCCCCTTTTCCAGCCAGGCGGGTCGTGCGGCCCCCCCCCCCCCCCCCCCCCGCCGCCCTCCACCCCGTTCATTCTCTTTCCTCAGCCTCCGGTCTCCCGCAGAAAGAGAAAAACCTTGGATTAAGTAAGGAGCTGCCTGCCTCTAAAAGGACCAGGAGGCGTTTAAACCCTGAGTGCCGGAAAACCAACGGCAATCTTCCGCGGCCACCACGTGGGACAGAGGGAACGTGAGCGGTACCTGCAGGACCCACAGGCTGCCGGGCTCTGGCGCCGGCCCCGACGGCGGCCCGGCCATCTCCGCCCGCGCAAGCTGGCGGCCTCACCTCCTCCGGGGGCTCGGTTAACCTCCTGGCGCTGCAGGATGGCCTGCTAGCAGTTCCCTGCCAGGGAGGAGGGAGGCAGGCGGCGAGAGCACGGCTCCACCTGATGGAGAAGCGCGGAGAGTCCTTAGACCTGGAGTGCGAGTCCAAGGGATGCAAGGAGAACGAGCACCATCACTGCAGGCAACCTCACCATCTAGGGGGTGACACGCACGGGACGGGGTTTCAGAACACACAGCCTATGGAGCTAGCAGCAATCCAGAGACAGCAGAAAACCAACAACTTGGGAAGCAGCCCAAATTCAGCTTTCAACGCGCAGAAGACACCAGGTCTCCTTGGCGTCCACCGTGCAAGGCTGAGTCCCTCGCCAGCAGGTGGCACCCTCTCCAGTCTTTCTTTTCCAGGCTTATAGCCTGGAAGGGGGACTTCAGGCCCAGATCCCCTTCCCCAGACCCGTAGCGCCAAGTGCTCCCACCATCATTTACTTTCCTGCGGATCAAGCAGGAGGGGGTTTCCCAAAGAGCGGCATGCAGCTGGGTGCCCACAGGGAATGCAGCTCCTGGGTCTCCTACTTATTGGTCATGAAGTTGCAGAGGGGCCAAGCCCAACTGGATAGCTTCCAAGCCCCGATCTCTGGCAGTGAGCATGTCCTCCTGGTCTTTTTTATTTGTTTTATTGTTTGTTTGTTTTGTTTTTATTGACATCAAAAGAGTGTACTGTTGTTCTATGTCTTGAACAGGCTGGCCTTCAGTCAGACAGACCCTACAGACTCAGGTTTATTCCGGTCCCCAGTGGCCATCTTTCAGTGACTTTTGTGGTTCTCCATCTATCAGTAACAATTATTTTCCGGGTTCTCTGGAAAGGCTCGTTTTGAGTTTTTACTGGCTTTTTAATAAGACAGAAATTGCCCTGAAGGTCGGCTATCAAGTATCGTACTTTCTAGATGGGACCAGGTTGATTTGCCTGAGGTCTTGAAGGAAACTGCAGAACTGAAAGATGACAGCACACAGACCCTCTGTGTCCCTCCCTTCTGGCACCCCACCATCACACACTGTCTTGATGTTCCCCGCTGTACCCTCGGGACCCCTAAGGAGAAGGAGTCAGCACAGAATTCCCAGCTTGTTACGTCTTTACGAGAGACACATTGTTACACACCACATCATTCTTTTGATTTTTACACCCTTCTGCCTGTACTGGTCGAAACTCTCTTGCCCGGAGATTTAACACATTTTGAAGGGGTCTCTACTGGGAGTTCGGTGTAAGCTGACTCTCCATGCTTAGTGAAGTTAATAAGATCTGTGAACTACATACACTTCCAAAAACCAAATGGTTTGCAGAGGCCCTCTCTGCGTGGCAGACGTCTGATTCAGGCAGGGACAATCTTCCATCCTATTTCTTTTTCATTTCTCTGAGCCACATTTCTTGCTCACACCAGTGTAGCAGGATTGTAAGACCTTAACCCCTGTTCTCCATGGTGGGTCTGTCTGTGGCAGTGGAAAGGGCCTGAGGGACCAGGTGTTCAGCTTTTTACAGTATCTTCCAAAGCCTAAGCGGTCTGTCTCCCCGATTCACGATTCACCCAAGATTAGGTCCAGCTGTGTGGGTCGAAATCCGCCTCTGTCCTGGCCTGTGGCCTGGACACTGCTAACTGCTATACATATTTAATGAACATAGGAATTTCTCCTTCGTTTATAAAATAACTAGTCTGAGCCTACAGATCTTTGAGTTTCCCCTCAATCCCAAACCCCTTTTGTTTGTGAGAGGTCACAGTTGTCAGCATTATGAGATTTACAATAGTGTCTCCAGTGCCATCAGTGTTAGCACAGGTTATTTTCAAAGGTCCATTCCTGAGAAATTAGCTGCAACCATAAAATCTCCTGGGGCCCCTCTGATTTCATGAGTTCCAACTTTCTCTCAACCGCTTCATGTTCACTGTGCTCTGGGTCCACAACTTGCTTGTGTCTCCCCCTCCCCCCTCCTCATCTCCCCCCATCCTCAACTGTGCTCACATGCAATCTGGGTTCTGGATTCCAGAATAGATTTTCTTCAACATAAATCCTATCATTATGTTGAATGCAAACCCTTTATTAGCACAAGAATGATGATGGCAGTGTGGCTGATGGGAAAGGAATTCCTTTAAAGTCTGTGAAGACCAAGCGCTGTGTACTTGATCCTAACATGAATCACATTTTACTGCAAAATGTATTTTCTTTGATACACTAGCTGCTCCATGCATGTAGGAAGAGTGTCACTCTAGTTCACTTGCGTCTCTGCTCACTCTGCTAGGCAAGAATCACCAAACATACTGCTGAATGAGTAACAAAGCTTCACCTAGTGCCCCACATCTTGCTTCCTGTTTTCTAAATC